CTGGGAAACTATAAGGCGGAATGGAATGAAGCAATTTATGAGTGGCGTGCATGTAGTGGCCGAGCCTGGCGAATAGGCGAACGAGCTATTGGGTGAGAAGAAAGGATACATATTCATTAAGATGAATATTCTGCCAGTCAGCTTTCATGTGGATTTTCGTCTGTAAAGTATTCACGGCTCAGTGTTGGCGATTCAGACGAATGAATGAATTGACGAATAGGTGATTAGCCAATCTAGGTAGCCTGATGAGCTTGAAATCACTGATTTCAAGCTCATCAGGCTACCTAAATTTGTGGTTTAGGTCTGAAGCACGTTAAAATGTTCTTGGAATTTTGCTACAAGACAGCTCTTATTCTTACTAAAAGACTGTGTGAATGCTCTTGGGATAAGGCATAGGTCGCAAACAACAATCGCTTTTCAGTCGTTGTTTTGAGAGTGCGAGATCCTCCTTTCCTTCTTTCTAATTCAGTTGTCCGAACCAGGAAAAGAGGTAGAAAGCTTGACCGAACTCGGCTGGATTCGACTGACTCCTTTGCCCACGGGCTGCGCTGCGCCTCCAACCACTGTTCCATCTTGGTCTTTCATCAAGTAGAGTCAGCCGACTAACATATTGGTATCGAGGAAAGCACTTTAGTTAATATCCAGTGAACAATCATCCTTCGTGAATACGCCCTGCACTTATATTTGATGTGGTACAGCAGGGCGATTGTATGGGCATGGAGTTTAGAGATGGAAATCCTGAACTGACCTTCGGCATAAGCCGATGGAAATTGTCATTTTAATCGAGATCCCGATTTTAGATCGCTGGCAACATTAAAAATTTGGTTGGATCGACATTTCGACCTTACCTTCATCGCCAGACCCTTAAAGGCAAACCCCGGGATCAAACTGGGGCTGAGAGCGCTTTGTAGTGATAGCTCATCGTCAGCTGAAGAGTTCGATGGTTGCAGGCCCGTAAGGATTAGCGCCCTAACCGCGCAATTTTGCGACGAAGCTGGAGTGATCTAGGTAGGTACGGACCTTACAATTTTCCTCGCGGTATCCTTCCTACTAGTCGGGCTAATCCCGGGGTTTGCCTTAAGAGGCAGGGATGAGTGTGCTCTATCCTAAGCATCATTCCAGGCCTCAGAAAAGCCTACATGGGCCAGCGGTCTCCATAGCGGCTATAAATTGTCAATCGTGAACCACGAAGCACTTCTATTACCCTCGTTTGACCCTCGAGCTACAGCAAGATTTTCTGAAGCCGAATTTGCTTACTTCATTGCTTTTGTCGATGCTTCTGTGATCGTTGGGTGATTTGTGGCGTGAAAGTTTAAAGTTTTCTATAAATGTCACCGTCATCATATTACACAGCTGTGACTCACTGGACAAGATAAACAACGACAGCTAGCGCTATCGAATAGCAGCAGCACATCATTAATACCGTGACAGCCGATCGGCTG